TGAGCTATTGGCAGAAGATCGAGTTGCATACGAGTGGATACTGCTTTGCTTAACAAAATATTTAGTGAATGCAACAGGCAATTTATTATTGTGATGCTGGTGCATGATTTTCAGTATCTCAATTTTATATATATCTGCCATTTTGACTATTTTCATGTTATAATAGTGGGGGTCTAGTTTCGACCTATATCCAGCGTTAGTAATAGCACGGATAGCCCTATTTTGCATAATTTCTACTCGATGCAATGAGGTAGGCACTCATATGGCAGTCAATAGGCACTCATATGTAGGCACCATCGCTTGGCTGACATGGGCAGTCCCGATCTCGTAATGGAACTAAGATAAGGAAAGTTGGAATATAAATTGGGCCTAGCTTTAACCTGGTACACATACTGCGGGAGTTTCAATTAATGTAGACTTTTTCATGTCTTTGTTATTTAATTGTTGAAAATTCTATTGTTGGTCAATCGAATAGCACTTCTTTTCCATGTCTTTTATATTTAGGTATTTACCTGCTATTGTTAATCAATTGAATGGTTCTTTTCTCAGATCTTTGTTATTTGATAATATTATTCTATTTTTGGTAAATTAAAATGTTTCCAAATTGCTCTGAACTATCAGTAGGATCAGTTCGTTTATGATGGTTTCATGAATTGTACTGTAACACCAAATATTTGAATAAAAACGTTCACTATTCCTATGATGATCATTGCTTCGTTTTGTAAACACGATTCGCAAGATGTGAATTATTAAATTTTCCTATTGATTGACCCTCTTGTGTGAGTCAGAAACGTTTTCAAAACCCATCTGCTAAAACTTATTGATAAGTATTAACATTTTTGGCGTGCAAGTTTGTAAAAATCCCAAACATATATATATAAAGTTCATGCATTTTTTAAACAGATTATGACAAACCTATGAATAAAATTCCTCTTGCCCTATCCACTGTGTTAGTTTTTTCAGTAATGTGTATGTAAGCCTACCACTGAGTTGCACTTTATTATTTTTCACGTTCAGACACATTCTCATCACACATTCACATCCATTCCCTGATCCACTTTGTATATATAGCCAGCTTATTATTTTTTCTTGACCAAACCCCATTAAATTTATTAATCAGGTAGGTATGAATTTCCATCACATTATTCTGGCCTCTTTAGATTGTTTTATTTAACGAATGCAACACCGGACACCCCCGACGTTTTTTTGTTTTAAAAACACAAATTTATTATATTGCTTTTACCTAAGGATCCCCTCATTTTGTTCGCAAATTTTATTGTAAAAATATTATCGTAATAGTTCAAGTTTTGCCACTGGTCATCTTTCAGTGTTAATCTCAATCACATCAGCGTATATGGTGGGAGCTGATTTCGATGACCGTATGGTCGTATCGCTCCCTCCTGTCTATACCAAAACTGTTTATATGCTGTGGCTGTTTCATTGATGCCTGTATTATTTGGTTGACAAAATATTAAATCTCTCTTTCTCGTTGTACTGCCATTGGTAAGAACGTTTACAATTCAATTATGCAGCTAGAGTGTCTAAAAAGGGCGAATTTATAATGTAACATTGACATCAATATTTACCTACAGTCGCATTTACTGTCGAAAAATTTATCAAATTACATTTATAAATATAACATTTTGGTATAACAGCATGCCTCAGTGCTGCTCAAAGGTGTAAAAAAAAACTCTGACAATGGTGCAGGAAGTGGTACAACACAGTTTTTGGGAGAGTTTGTTTGATGTTCATCCATTTTCAAAATACTAAGTTTAGTCTAATTGTGTAGTGTAATTGAGCGAAAATTTTAGCAAATTACAATTAGACAGAATGAAAATGCCTCCATTACATTACAATTACATGAAAAACTGTAATTAACTAAATCAATTACAATTGATCCAACTCTGGTGTCTACTATCCCAATGGAAAAATCAACATGGAGGATTTGTTGCGCCATCAGGACGCCTTGGTTATCAGTAAATTCCGGACAACCGGGAGGCCAGACGTCGATTCCGGGACTGTCCCGGGACGGTTGGTAGAGCTAGCATCATCAGGTCTTGAATAGTATTAGATTTTGCCTACGTTCCCGATTTTCCGTAGGCTATATGTGTGTGTTGACTTGCATTGCCTATATATTTGTTTTAGTGTTACGGAAATCGAAATGAACTTTGCTACCGTGCGTTGCGTCTATATTATGTTGTTACGAGCGCGGTGGGTTGGTAATTGTAAGTGCCCCGTATTGGGTTCGATACTGATTGAGACGTCCTATCGGATTTCTGCGCCCTCGGAATATAACTACTGATTTAAATCTGCTCCAGTAGCTTTTAAAACTACTAAAATAGGCTTGTTTGCGTTACGCTACCCGAGCCGAATTATCGAAAATGGCGTCCATATGACGCCATAATGTGGACGAGTTAGTTCGCACGGGGGTTGCGTAAAAGTACGGTGCTTGCCATTCTTGTTGTTTATGTAATAGCTATGGGTGATCACTGCCGATTCTTATGGCGACGTATCACCATCAGGGGCGATAGAGATACCCAGAGATGTTTTTGAACGAGTTCGCCGATTTAGCTTTAGGGAAATATTTTCGGTACCGTATGTTAACAGATACCGGTACCGGTAGGCCTACTGTCCAAATTATCAACTTGACAAGCGAATTTGTTAGAAAAATATTTTATATCTGACAAAGCAGATGAATGCAAAAAGGAATATAGCACACAAGAGCGGTCAGCTTCCTTTTTTGTACCGGTACCGGTACCAGGAAAAGAAAAGTTATCATCAAGTAATTAATCCATGCTGACTCTTGATATTTGGTCACAAGATTGAAGGTATAATATTTTAATAGTGCTAGATAAAATATATAAAATATTTGTTACTGCAAGAACGTTTACAACTTGCAGACATAGGTTGTGGTACAGAATATTATGGAAATACAGACCTACATAACAATTTTTATTGAATTGTATGCCAATCGGAATCCCATGGCCTTGTTTTTGGGTAGTATGGATCAAATATGCATGAAATGTAAAACTTGTACGGTACTTGAAGACTTGTCGTAATTTAATGTTGATACCGGTACGGTACTGTAATAAAATCAATATTTTATTTCAATGCCCCCTGATTTGTACCGGTATCAATTAAAGTGACTGTGTCGGGAGTTTGAAAACAAGAAGTTCAAGATACAGAGATATATTTCTTATCATTATTCTCTCCATTCCAGGACTATGGAGGTTTCCCAAACTGCTTTCAACTCAGCCTGGAGCACATATCAGAAAAATTCGATTGAAATGAATAAAGCTGCTGGACACAGACTCTAGTCTTGGGTATGAAAGATGATTTATATCAAGATTTCTAACTCTTGTTTTCACTCTTTGTATTTGTGACATTCCAAGACAAACACTTGAAACTAAATAATTAATGCAATGAAAATAAAATTTAAATGGTTCAAAGAAATTTGTCCAAAATGTTCTGACTGAAACACCTAAATCAATCGGATCCTTGCAATTAATATGAATTTCTTTCTTTTCTCCCGTTTTAGGTTCTGTACTGTTATTGTCCAATCTTACTTTTCCTATTCTAATCTATCATAGTTGGGTCTGATTCAGGATATTGAAATTTTGAATATGAAAACCTTGCATTCATATACTTTTTTTGTGGTTCTATCATGTTATTGGCCCACCAGTGAGCTAATCCTAAGTAAGGATCAGTTAGATGAGGCAATAGCAAGACATTACACACTGCGATAATGGACTGGTTTGAACTTCTAGATCAGCCCTAATCAAGCGAATGTTTCATGGGTGCTTGTCTACTGTCTTGCTTAGAGATCAGAAATAAAAACCTTGATCAAATCGAGAGTTTTTTCATTCTGAATGAAATAAATTGCAGGTACTCCTGTAGTATGTGGACCAAGATGGGGGACACCAAAACGTAGTATGTGTACCAGTTCAGGATTAGGCCATAATTTGATTCCAATTTTTCTTATTTTAGTCCTATTACGAGTTCGGGGACTAGCCAAGTGACTCCAAGTGAAATAAAAAAACTTGCTAATTAATCCCATATTAAGTAATGTTGATATGTAAATTAGCTTTAATATACCGTATATGCTCGTTTTACCGCCCGATCTTGATTAAGGGCCCATTTGAATAGCCGCCCGTGTGAACAGAACATAAAAATAAATAAGGGCTGGTGCTTGAATACCCGCCCGATGTGAAAGCTGATTTTTCAGTGGTAGAGAAAAATAGGAAATAAGATAAGTTTTGGCTTTTAAGCGCTGGTAGATAACACTCACGCCTTAGTCGTCCAATTACATAACAGATAGCATTAATTACGTAACACCGTGGTTCTCAAACTGGGCGTCGCGACGCCCAAGTGCGTCGATTCAATATTGATAAGGTGTCGCAAAACTTTTCTTCTTTTGCGGATTTATACCTGGGGTGCGTAGAAAAAGTCAAAATTTTTGTTATTTTCATTTAAATCATCAAGCGCCCGTGCCTGAATAAGGGCCGGTTTGAATAAGGGCCCGGTTAGTGAGTTTGGTTAAAAAAATATGGGCCCGGGCTACAAAACAAGCAAATACGGTATTCTTATTGTTGTGCACAAGTCACACTCCAGCTTTTTCTACACTTCAAGTAGTTTATATTGTCATAATCAAATCAGTAATATAGTAATGATAAAGAGTTCCGCACCAAATTCAGGTAATTCCACCTTCGTTGGGAAAAGAAGCTCCATAGTATTTTGAATTGTTTTAAACTTCTCGGGGCCCTGGAAACGCAATAGTTAACTAATGATTTTCAATCCTATTTTCTGGTTAGACTCTGAAGAATATTTTAAATGCTCAGATCATAAAAATATTGTCCACGTCAGTAATGCTGAATGCGTCATATCAGAAATATTTTAAATTCAGAAAAGTAGCGTTTATGTGGGCTACACTGCAACAATCAAACTTATCAATGCTCTCTAACATACACTTCCAAATGATTTAATTTCATCTATTATCCCAGGATCATGACAGCGCTGCTGAAAGTCTTGTCGAACAGGCTTCAACTCTCAAGAAAGAGATGGAAGCGAGAAACACACATCAAGAAAATTTGATTGAACTGAACAAAGTTGCTGGCCACAGACCAAGGTCTACTTTAGTCTTAGGTACGACCAGGGATGGCCAATTCGAATAAAGTATTCGAATGTAAGTATTCGAATGTATTCGAATACCTCGTCATTCGAATATCGGAATTAGCGTTCATAAGAATATCGGATATTTGTGTGACGTCACACATTTTCGACGCTGCTTTCGAGACGTTTCCGCTGGATGAAAACATTCTCGATAGAAACTTGCGCGCGATTGCTTTATCAGCGGACGAGTTTTTTAGGCCGTAAATGCCTTTACCCTTGTTTTTGTTTTCTCTAAAACGCAAATTTTCCACAAATTTGTTCGCGATAACGATGACAATTATTTTATTTTTGTACTCGCACGGAATTGTGAATCCGGTGAATACGTTCATCGGCGGCAAGTTTCTAAAGAAAACGCAAACTTTTTGATTGAAAAGCGGCAATTTATAATACTAAATATAAAACCGAAAACAAAATATGTTTTATTGAAGCCTGCGACAGTGTAAAAAACGCTTTTCTAGGCAGAGAAAATCGCAAAATTTCCACATTATGTTTGGTCCGCGTTTAGAAAGGTCACTAATTGAGGGCGGGATTTGCCTGATTATCCATTACTTTAAATAAATTGCCGTCGAAAATTTTCGTGTTAACATTATACAAGGTTTGAAACGCGACTTTCACCGGGTTGTGAGAATGTATATAATATGATTAATCTAAAGTATATTCAATCAATTTTTATTGTGCTGAAATAAATTTTACTCTGAGATTTTACGGCAGATTTATGGATTTTTCGAATGATTTTATCTTAAAAATAATCGGAGTGGCGGCATTTCTATTGAGCGGAGTCAGTGTTACACATCTCAAATTTGCCGAATTCGCAAAATACGGATCAAAACAATATATAATCGGGCAGTTTACCACACATTTTTATTTTTATGTTCGCGGATCGCGATGGCATATTAGAGTGGTGAGGATTTTATTTTGTCGACGCAACCGCAGGTTAAATTGAAAACGATTGAATTAATAAAGCAAGACATTTTAAATATGTCCGTATCGGTCACGAATTAATCACTTTGCACAACAGAAAAATATATATTTGTTGTTATATTATTCGTTGTAAATGTCGGCTCTTTTAACAGGCGGAGTAATCGCGGCGATGAATATGTATTTTTAATTTACTGCTTAACTTTATATGTATATTCATTGCATGAAATGAATTGTACACTTAACAGGATTTTATATCATTATTTGAGATTTTTCTAACGGCGATAACGAGTTGGCAAGATTGCAAAAATACGTATTAAAATTAAATACATCAGGCAGTTTATCTCGTACTTTTAGGTCACAGATCGCCGTGGACCGAATAGTAATGTTTTTTTTGACGTAAGAAGAAGCAACCGCGAGTTACGTTGGACTCATAATTAATATATAAGATATTTTAGAATCTCGTAGTTGTCATGGATTGAATATTTTACGTGACAGGATGATTTACCTGAAAAGACGGAACGAGCGCGGAATCGCGGTGGTGTTACAGGCGGCAATGGAATTTCCGATTTCGAAAATCCTGGCTGCGCGCTGGCAGTGGTGGTCATCTATCTCTACTAACTTATTCTAATTTCAGACATAACATATGCTACACATAATAACAATATGGTTCACATAATTAATATACAAATATACTGGTAGGTAGTAGAATACTCTAGGCTTAAATATTAGAATTTAAAGGCATAATGGATTTCGATTGTTGTTGCTTGCTTCATTGCCTGTATGCCAATATTTTATTACTCTCAGAAAATATACACAATTATCTGAATACAAGTAGTATTTTTGTCAATAGACTTGACTATTATCGTAATATCATGGTACCAATGATAGAAAGCGTCAGACAACTCCTTGGCTATCTTTTCATATGGTCATTTGTACAAAGTGAATAATTTTAATAAACTGAATGTGTCACAAGTTGCTATTATTTTCATTGATAGCTATAAACTATCAATTACTTTGTGTACATATACTGTTGGTTTGTGGTTTATTCTGGAATTTCTATTGAAGCTTATTCCCTATTTTACTGGGTTTTAATTTTAATAAACTAATACAAAAATGTGTTATTTTCGATTTTAGAATGTATTCGGAATTCCAGATTCGAAAACATTATTTTAGAATGTATTCGGAATAGTTTAGTATTCGGAAATGGCCATCCCTGGGTACGACAAATTTTTACAAGAACCAGTACTAGCTTTGCTCATTTTGTACTGCAATATTTATTCTATTATCTTTACCTGTATGATATTTTCGGGCATAAATGTTCGATTTTTATTTTTACCCAACACTGGAGCCCGGCCCACCAAACCATTCAGTGTGGCCTTGTCAACACTAAATTATTTCCCCATCAAGCATAAAATCTGAATCTAACAGTTATGTTAAAAAAGCTGCTCATGTGGGTAAAAATACATGTTTTCATTGTTTCGACTTGTGTCTTTATTATTGGAACGCTGAGCAACAGTCGTATTCTTTTGTCTTTCTTGCATTGATTTTTTGTGTGGCCCGGCTAATTGTATGAAGTGGTTATATGGCCAACTGAAAAAAATGTTGCCCCTTGCTTTAGAATAATAGTGAAAAAAATAATAAAATGTAAATCTCAAACAAAGTTATGTTCCCATAATTCCCATTTCTGCCTTCAAGGTATTCAGCAAGAAAATAATGCAATTCGGTACCTACAACATGAGAACGATAAATTGCGACAAAGTTTGACCGAACACCAGAACGCATTGGAACTTATCATGACCAAGTACAGACAGCAGATGATGAAATTTACGAAGCACCAAAAGTATGTGGATCTTGTCAATGTATTTCATAATCTCAGGGAGAGGAAAGTCTATTGTTTTACTATAAAATGGCTGTATTATTACTAATAAACATTTAATTGAAGTTCCATTCTTTCAGAATACCTTTTGGTTTTAATACGAACAATCCTATCTCCCGTTGAAATGGCAAATTAAGGTTTTTATCCTAGGCTTTTGGCCAGTTCAGTGCAGCGGCTCCAAAAGTTTACATTCAAGTGCGACAGTCTATATATTATATGTCCAGGGTGTCCATGAAGTCCCTTTACAATTTCAATTTTGTTGTGAAGTGGATTAGGCATATTGGAGTGACAATTCTAAAAGCTAAGAAGATCACATTATAGCATGGGGTGTGCAACCTTCAATACAGGAGGTCCAGATAGAAATAACTGGGCGAAACCTGTTACGGCATTGTAAAGTCGTAGGCATGTATAAACTAGACTCAGATATAGGCTTCGCAACGCACAGGAATTGGAATTACTCACCCGTACCAAATTGAATTTAATTGAAAACTGATTTCGCGGTCCGTACACCTTTCAAAATTGACTCTCTTGTGGGCCGCATTTGGCCCATGGGCCAGTCGCAGGTTGCGCACCCCTGCATTATAGTATTTGTAAATTCTTATTTAAAATCCAAAGCCGTATAGCTGAATAATATTCACAAAGAATAATTATGATGTTTTTCTTGGATTCAAATATTTCAACAAAATCAATGAACCGTGGCTTGACAGCATTTTTAGATTTATTTATATCTTTCCGTTTCAGCATCCAGATCACTGAAATGCTTAATCAAGCAGAAAAACAATATCAAGAAGAGAATATGGAACCTCATTGATAAGGTAACGAGACCAAGGTTACTCTAACCCTCAATTATGTCGTAGTGCTTTACTGCTTCGTCAACCAACAATTTCAGTTACCCTGGCCCACAATCCTGGTCCCACATTTCAGTTTATCACAAATTTGATTATGGGGATTGGTTTTGATGTAAAAGAACATGTTATTAGTCCCATATCCAAATTCATTAAGTATTTCCTGCTAAAAATCCTGTAATCGCTGTAAATATATGCACGATTAACCCTCTGACCACCACAAAATTGTGGCATGGCAATTTATGGGAGTAACCTTGCATAACATTGAGCATTTTTATGTATAAGTATAGTACCAATGGAGGTAAGTGTGTACCAATATGGAGGTAACTAATTGTGTTCGCCTATTTTACATCAGGTCGTGTAAAGAGACTGAAACCTATGGGCAGAGTGTATATTCACTTGGCTAACACAGACAGTCCCCGTACTTGTAAAAGAACTAAAATGAGGAAAATTGGAATTCGAACCTGGTACACATACTACGTGATTCCTGAAATAGGCATCTTGATTAATCAAGTTCAGTTTATTATATATTTGCCACTGATATCAAACAATAGTGATGAACTACTATTGTTTGAAGGAGTGGAACCTTTCTTACTAGGCAATCTTGTTATTAGTAATGCTGGAGGTTTGACAATAATTATTCAAATGAAATAATTCAATCACACGGTGGCGCTAAAGGTTCAAGTTATTTCAAAACAAAAAAGGTGGCAGTTTTATCTTAAAAGACATGAATTATCTTTCCATGTTTCAGATCCACGAGATAGCTGCTGTGATGAGGCATGCTGCGGATGTTGACGATGAGCAATATCTCAGAGATTACGAAGAATTATTCGATGGCAAACAGAAAATGACATTTTAAGAGAAATGCTGATGATATCTAAGAGTTCATTTGGACCCAAGACTTATAACCACTGAACAGAAAGATTCTGGAAAGACTGAAAAACCAGAGAATGAACCTGAAATGGTGCTCACTGACGATACTACTAGTGACAAGACAGTTATACATGAGGGGGAATCACCCTAAGACTACTCCCAACAATCAGTCAAATAATTATATTACAATAGGGAGGAAGTTTATGTTCCTTTATCTTGTTATTCCTTGTGTTTCTATTGAAACTCAGTATTGAGAAAATATCTGGTTCATACAAAGTGCTCAGCGCAAGGCTGTAGGCCAGGGTTTTCCAAACTGAGGTCGGGTCATCTTCTTCTTACTGTTATACTTTGTGTTTTTGTTAAAGCGAAAAAACTTATTCGTGTACTTTGCTGCACAAGCAACACGCAGAGAAGGTTGTGATTAGCACTCAAAGACAGCTAGTGGTTTATACGCAAGGGGGAATCCCCATGATTATTTTTTTCTGAGAGTTACACTCAAAAAACGAGGTAAAAAAAAATAGGAGAGACTATATGTTCCTCCCATCTTATTGTTTACCCGTGTTTTTGTTAAGCTCAGTATTGATTTGCTGTACTCCACACAAGGCCCTTGACCAGTGGTTTTAAACCAGGGTTCATTCCGCCAGTACAGATTCCGGTAGTCTATATTATTATATTGGTACTCCCGTAGTATGTGTACCAGGTTAGGGCATAATTTCATTCAGATTTTCCATATTTTAGTTCTATTACGAGTTCTGGGACTGTCTGTGTTAGCCAAGTGAACCCCCTGCCCATAGATTTCAGTCCCTTCACACAATTTAATGTAAAGTGGGCAAACAAAATTAGTTACCTCCATATTGGTACACATACTTCTGGAGCGTCCCTTACTCTTGGTGTTTCTATCGAAACTCAGTATTGAGAAAATATACATACATGGTTCGTACAAAGTACTCTGCACAAGGCTGTAGGCTGTCCAGGGATTCTGCAGGTTTGCATTGAAATCCTATAGTCTATATCAGGGCCACTCAACTGGCGGACCGCGGTCCGAATCCGGACCTTTCGGGTATTCGATTCGGACCGCGCATAATTCTTCATTTTGGATCATTAGCCCCACTTTTGAAGTTTCCTTTTATACAATCACTTTTATAGTTTTAAAAATATATATGAAAAGAACTATAACCCCATAACAAACAATCTTGATTAGCTAATAATCATTAGTCGGCCGAGGAATCGTGTGCTTGAGGATGCCGAAATACAATGTCTGGAAAGTCCGGACCCAAATATTTTTGAAGTTTTGTATGCGGACCACCGGTAAAAATAGTTGAGTAGCCCTGGTCTATTTTATTATTAATACACGGATATAATAAGTGTGTTTCACAAGAGACTTTCATTTTCTCTACAATAAGACGTAAGATCAATTCCGGCCCGACCCGAGCCTGACTAATTAATTGGATTTGCAGGCCCGAGCCTGAAGCAAACCCGAAATTTCATATTTTAATCAGGAGATCTCTGAATTGTCATTGCAAGAGTGTCGTGTTGATGAGGCAACTTCTGTTTTTTTGCAGACCACGGTCTCTCGTGGCCAAAACGCCCCATTTAAAAAAAAAAGTCAGCGATAGAACAGCCAGACCCGGCTCGAATTTCGGGTTCAGGCTTCAGATCTTAGCTCTACTCTACATCAAATTTCCGTTTCACATTTTTTGATTGTCATATTATAATGTATATTCAGTTACACAGGGGTTCTTAAGCTTTTGAAATGTTTGTTGGGGTTCCTCTCCTCCATAAAGGTTGAAAAATCTTTGCTCTAGACAAGAAACACTCGGAAGAGGTTCTGGTTGGCACTCAAATGAACACATTATTTCCAATGTCAATTTTGATGTTTCCAAATTCCACAACCTGAGCATTTGATGATACATGAGACAGGAAAGACCACAGGTCATGGTTGTCACATCTCCCTGTACTTGAGGCAATGGTTTAGTACAAATTCGAACTGGTGTAGTTTTCAAAATGAATATCGAACTGAATAGAACATTCATAAAAAAAAAAAGAAATACAAAGTTGGAATATTTTCACATCTGTGACAGACTTAGCATTTTAGAGTTTTATACCAATTGGGGTTAGACGAAAACAGATAAAATTGCCCTTGGCCTGTAGGTGGAATTCTATAGCTAGTCTTACTTCTGGACAAAAGCAGTGAATTGTTTTTTATTTTATAGTTATCATCATACTGTGGAATGAAATTTTTATTTTTGGTAATTTCCTCGCTATTCAGATACTTTCAGGATTAATTATGGTAAATGGTAGTTCAACCACAAGCTATATGGTCGAGTTGTCTTGTCCTAGTCCATAAGCATTAGATATAGTAAATACAAGTTCTTTGTGTATGTTAGGGGTGTGCAACCTGCAGCACACGTGCCAAATGCAGCCCTGAAGAAAAAAATTGTGCGGCCTACTGAAAAGTGTCATATTTGAATGACATGTGGCCCATGAAACAAGTTATTTTTGTAATTTTAGTCCTTTTACGTTGCGAAGCCTATACCCGAGTCCAATTCATTATCAATGCCTATGACGTTGCAAAGGCCCAACAGCTAGCTTGTGCGAAGCGAACTACTCAAGTCATAAGATCAATAACCAAAATTTTTGTGCCTGCGACTACAGGAAAGACTACCGTATGTATATAAAGCTGCAGCCGCAGATTCACACCCAGTTATTTCTATCTGGCCCTAAAGGTTGCACACTACCGAGGAAATGGCCAAAAAAACAATCTAGTACCGGTACCAATATTTAAAATACATACTGAAATGGTATTTTTGAACATATTCCTAATGTTTAGTAAAGGACACGTCCAGGACACGTTTCTTGGATATTTATTCGAATCAGATTGGACATTCCTGATACTCTATCATGTTGGCTTTATTCAGTAATAAAAATGTTTAAATTTGTCATGTAAACTGAAAACACATTTGCTGAAATATTATTGGTTTGAAGACAGAAATCTCCATACCAAGGACTTTGTTATTTTATACACAACTGAGCGCTCCAGAAGTATGTGTACCAATATGGAGGTAACTAATTTTATTCGCTTACTTTACATCAAGTTGTGCAGATGGACTGAAACCTATGGGCAGGGGGATGGATATTCACTTGGCTAACACAGACAGTCCCGAACTCGTAATAGGACTAAAATAAGGAAAATCTAAATAAAATTATGGCCTGACCCTAACCTGGTGCACACACTACGGGAGTACT